GTGCCTCTGGTTATGATACCTACAATGAAGTAATTAAAAATGAACATACGTTATCGATATTTTTCAGAATATTCCCTAGTGTAAAAGAAATATATGTTCGGAAATGAAACTGAGATTGACCTACATTAATTTAAAAAAAATAAAATTGTCATATCCTGAAAAACCAAACAAAAGGAACTAAACTTTGCAAAACTTGTCAATCCACTCCTATTTTTGGGTGTTATCGTAACTGTTCATGAAAAACAAAGACACTTAACAGTAATTAGTAATAGCTTACAAATGGGATTCACAACAAAATAACTAAAGATTATTTTTAACTATTTTATAAGGATACTAAACCACCCATTAAGCCATCGAGTTGCTTTTAAAAGCAATTCATGATATAAAATGATGTGGTAACAATATTATCAATTTTATTATTAATTACATATTTTAATTTTAAGACAATTTTATGTTTAACATTCTTTTTATAGATACAAATATTTAAGTAAATGCTCTGTTTATAATAAACAGTATTAAACAACATTTACCGGCCTGAATGTCCAAAAAATTTTCACAGAAAATATTCGTCCTGACAGGATTCGAACCTGTATCCTGTACGGAACTGTCGTTTAGCAAGGTTGAATTTACTGTATTTAAACTTCAATCTTCCATGAATCTCTCACGTACATTCATATCTGCTCATGGCTAATCAAATGTAAACAAATGACGTCACACATTATGAAAAGAATGTTAAACATAAAAATGTCTTAAAATAATTGTCAGACTTTGTCCATTTCATAATATTTTAATTTGTATTTAAAGAGCATAAAAGGTTTATTCTTCCACCAGGCTTCATAGTTAACATATTGCATGAAAATTTAAAGTAATAACTTAAAACAGGTATAGTCTTTTTTCAAAATAATCAGTATATTTTTTATTAATTATTAGTTAATAAGTAAAATATTTTCTAGCCCAAATACAAATGAAAAGCACCAAAAATGCCTTAATGTAAATATATCCTGATTAAAAGTATGAAAAGTTTATTTTCCAATATCAATAGATATGTTTTGCTTCTTTGTATTAAAAGAGATATTTCTTCCATAAAACATACTTGGAATAAAAATTAATAATTAACACTACAAGCAGTAAAGAAGGTTTATTGTTCCACTGGGCTTCATAGTTAACACATTGTGGGACAGTTTGGAATAATAGCTTAAATAGTTGGAATATAATATGTTAGTGTTTGTTTATATACATAGCTTGATATAAGAATATGTATCGAAAACAAATACTGAATTTCCTATTAAAAATGCTGTTAAAAAAAGAAAAGGGGCCCAAGCTAAAGAACAACTTCTCTAATTTTAATGAAACTTGGCACTGCACTCGGCAGTGGTTCAAGGTACAATATGCTCCTAACTTAGTTGGGGTATTATGCATCATTTAAGCTGTATCTTGGGAACACACATACATACATGCAAGATTAGCATTTTAGTATTATATAGATAGATATATTCTTAATATTTTCAAATATTAAAAGATTTTATTTGTAATCTATAAAATAAAAGATTTCAAATTATACAGAAAAATGTAACAATTATGTGGTTAAAAAAAAAAAAAAAAAAGTGTATTAAAAAGTAAAATACATACATAGGAATGTCTTTTTTGTTGAGGCAAAACAGAGATTAATATTGCACAAAGCAAGGTGGGTCCTGCCCGAGAAAGGATTTGTCAAAATGATTTGAGGCAAGGTCGAACGCTCTTCCTGACGCCCAACTCAGACACTCACAGTAATTCAAGTACATCAAGTGTTTTTTTTATCAAGGCTCCATCATTTATAATATATATATATATATATATATATATATATATATATATGAGATTATAAGAAAAACAATTTAAATTGCTACACAAAAACTTTCATGTTTCAATACTATGATTGTACTTACTCAGGCAATGGTTGGTAACTGGTGATAAAAGGATTTTTTTTAGGGAAACAAAAACAAATTGTTACCTCTTTTCCGAAAGTGGAGAGTTGGGGGCATAAGGTCAGAATTAAAAATATACTTGTGGCTACGTTTCGATTAACCAATTAAGTATCAGATCTATACTAAACAGAAAAATCAGCTCAGAGGATGCAGGTGTGTGTGTGGGGGGGAGTAATTTTTTTTCATGTCACGATAAACAGCATCATTGACGATTGTGGAGAATACGGTAGCAACAAACGTATACATTTCTTGCTGTTATATTTTCCACAATTGTTAATGTTGCTGTGTCTATGTGTTGTTTATCATGACATGTAAAAGTAACTCACCCACCACCACCCTCTGAAGTTATTTTTTTCTATTTAGCATACATCTGATATTTAATTGGTTAATCAATTGGAATCAGAATTCTGACTTTATGCCCCCTACCCCACTCAATTTTTCAGCAAAGAGGTAACAATTTGTTTTTAAGTTTTGATAAAAATCATTTTATCACCAGAGGAAGTACAATCATAGTATTGAAACATGAAAGCATTTGTGTAGCAATTTAAAATGTTTTTATTATAAACTCTTAAAATATATTTTGCTCTACTTTGTATTGAGCACTGTTTTAAAAGTATGTGCTATGAACTGTGGATTTTCACTCCATTTGTTCTTTCTCTCATTTGGAGAAAAATTGGGATCAAATATGGTTTGGAATCCAACAGAGTGATAGAATAAGGAACAAATTGGAAATAGCATAATTTTCCTTTTCCCCTCCATATTTAATTCTCTAATGAAGCTGTAATAAAAGCCAAACATGTTAGACTTATGTTTCCTACTTCTCCTTATCATATCGTGATCTCTCTCATATATATATATATATATATATATATATATATATATATATATATATATATATGAATAAATACAAGTAGATACGTTTGCCTATTATTCGGTTCACATGCCACCCCAGACTTTTGAACAGGGATAAAGGTTTATCCTTTGTTTCCTGCTTAGGACTGGGTTTTTACTTCTGTTTGTTAAAGGTTTTCTCATTCTCTTACAGTAACCCTTGTGTTATAGTGGCATTATCGACTTGCTTGGGATGAATTGATTAAAAAAATAAAATAAATAAATACACACACACTGGCTCCTATAACAAACTTTTGACAGAAAGAAAAAAAAAAATTAAATAAATTTTCCCATGATGAGAACATTTCAGATTCTATTGGGGAGGATGGGCCGAAAGATGAATGAAAGATTTTACTGATAGAAGACTTAGTTTTTTCCAATGTATCAATCTCATCATTGCTTAACATACAAACATTTGCTTTAGTTTTTTTTAATGTGTTATGAAGATAAATGATCTTACTCCAGTGTGACAAACAATGGTGAAGAAAAGAAAATCATAGGCAAAAACAAATTCAGCCACTTTGTCCTTATAAATATTATAATAAAGAGCATAAATGAAATAGCTTTACTAATTTTGTTTGGAAATTGATTTTTTTTCCATTTTTCTTTAAGTTTGGGTGGTTGGGGGTGGGAGGGTATTCATCACTTACCACGATCATTTCAGATGGCTCCAAAGTAAGGCACTCGCTGGTCCTCCGGGTACATCCTGGGGGACGTTTGCCAAAACTAGAAAAAAAGAAAATTAATAAATATATAAAAACCAGTATATCACATTGAATATCATATTCAAGTTTTCTGCAAATTTGAAGAAATATAATGTCTTGATTTTTTTAAAGTTCACTCAATACACTGCTCAAGAGCCACTCAAAGCAGAAGGTTACTATTAAAATGGTAAAGATGAATGAGTTGTATGATATGAATGAAAGAGTAGGCGAGAGGAAGTGAGGATAAGAAGGATAGATAACAATTGGCTCATAACCTGAAGAGGTTAAGATTGTTAAAGTGCAGATAATGCACAATAAGTGTTGCACTAAGTAGAATTGATGAGCAGGGTTCAAATACCAAGCAAATTTGTAAAGGTTGGAGGAGTGCATGCATAAAAGGTTTAAGAACTTTTGAGAGGTTATGTATTGAACACATCTGCATTACTAAATAGTGCTTTAACATTCCTGTAGCCTTCACAAGGGGTGCTGTTCCTTGTCCTGCATTTGGAATGTTACATGGGTTTCAAGCTAGCCTCAAAAGTCATTGCAGGCACAAACACAACAAAGGTGGAACATGCTATTAGGACTTCATATGTGAAAAACAATAGGAGTGTTATATATATATATATATATATATATATATATATATATATATATATGTGTGAGAGAGAATTTAAACCATTCCCGCCTATCCAATAGCCATCAAAATACCATAATGAACCAGAAATAACTGACCTTGCTATCCATAATGCTCCAATGACTAGCATTGTCATAAAACTCATGACAAATGATTTCTCATCAAAATTTTTCAGAATGAATGAATGAATGCACACAAAACTCATATGGAGCTTAAGGCCATAATATTAATTAAACAATACGAATATTCAATATTTCTGTACATTCATTCCTTAATGATAAGGCATTATGATTATTATTTTTAAAAATAAAAAATTTAAAAGACATGAAAAAAAAAAAAAAAAAAAAAAAAAAAAGGGAAATGACTGAATGGTTCTCAAGCATAAATAATCAATTTTGTCAAATGAATGCAATGGAATTTCAGAATCATTTTCTACATGGCTGAACCAGACGTTTTATCAAATAAAAAAATTATTCTTCATTTTATCTATTTCCAAACCTAATTTCTGGACTTGTTTGTTGACTGATGAGGTAAAAAAAAAAAAAAAAAAAAAAAATTCTTTCTGTAATTATTAGTTAAATTATTCTTCTAGATTTAATACTTGTTCATATCTTATGTTCAAAAATAAAAGCCTTCTGATGAAAGTTTTTATTTAAGCATGACCAGAAAAGAAACAATGAAGCTTGTCACTTCCATCTCTACACACACTCAAGAAAAGCAAAAAGACTTCATAAAAATTTTTAGTAGAGAAAAAAAAAAAAAAAAAAAAAAAATTTTCCTAAGAAACCATATAAAAAAAAACTACAGAAAGAAACCATATAAAAACAAGAGGGGAGAGAGAAGGGAGGAGAGGAGAGAGAAGGGAGGAGAGGAGAGAGAAGGGAGGAGAGGAGAGAGAAGGGAGGAGAGGAGAGAAGGGAGGAGAGGAGAGAAGGGAGGAGAGGAGAGAGAGGGAGGAGAGGAGAGAGAAGGAGGAGAGGAGAGAGAAGGGAGGAGGGAGAGAGAGGAGGGGAGGGAGGGGGGGGGGGGAGGGGGGAGGGGAGGGGAGGAGAGGGAGGAGAGAGGGAGGAGGAGAGAGGGAGGAGAGAGGGAGGAGAATTGCTGGGGAAAGAGGAAGAAAGAAAGAATATGGGAAGAATGAAAGAAGAGAGGGCAAATGGAAAGAAAGCAAAGAGAGGAGGGAAAGCAAAGAAAGCAAAAGAAAAAAGTTCAGGTATAACAGCTAATTACTGTGCATTTCCTAATGAAATGCAATGTCATAAGAGACATTTAACATCACACACCCAAATGTACTTGTACTTGTTGGGTTTATCTTCAGATGAACCAACAATGTTCGCAAAAAGGTCAAAGTAAGCCTGGAATAACTCAAACGGAAGAATCTGAAATATTCAACCAAGAATATGGTACAAAATTAAGTACCCAAAAAAAGAAATTTAAAAAAAAAAAAAAAAAAAAAAAAAGTCCTATAAAATGAACCTGAAACAATGATTAAAAACTAATACCAAAGTAACTGTAGGTTCATTGTACTGAAATGTTTATTCTAAATAAACGGTCAAGTGGGAGAGGAGAAAGTCAGGAGCAAAGCAAAATGATTTCCATCTTCTTCTAGAGACCATAAAGAAATAATTAAACCAGTTTCAACAAGAAGCTAGTCAGCAAAAAAAAAATAAACACACAAACTCAATCTTTCTTGAAGTAAACAAAGTTTATATATATATATATATATATATATATATATATATATATATATATATATATATATATATCTCTGAGAAAAAGCACACACCAATTATAAATTCTCAGTGAACTGAATAAATTTAAAAAGCCAAATGGCAAAAGCATGTATTGTGAAACTGTTATAAGGAGTACCTTGGAATTATTTTAAAAAAAAAGAAAAAAAAAAAACTGTGTCATGTCCCTTCAGGACATTGGCAATCATGACTCCACAGTTTCCTGTCCTTTGTAGCTCTTAGTAAATTTTATCTTTTCACTATCTCTCCTAAACCACTTACAAAAGCTCACAAGATAGATTGAAGAAAAGCAGTGCATAACCTATCCTGTGAGTATCAAATTCTCCAAGCCCCCTTTCTTCATATGCCATAGAAATGTCTACTATCTCTTTCTGATGTTAAGTATATATATATATATATATATATATATATATATGTGTGTGTCCTTTTTGTTTCTATTTTCTCTAGAAATTTGTTGTTGCTCATATGTTCAGTTCATGGTATTCCCAAAATTCTTCTGTAGGACCACATTTCGGTTGCCTCAAGTCTTTTCTTCATCAATGAGCAGATTGTCCAGCATTCACTAACATACAGGAGGATTAATATTACCTAACTGTTCAGTACTCTTTTCTTAGTTTCTAACAAAATTTTCTTGTTTCTTCTTTTTGCTACTGAATTTTTCATTTCACAATCTAACTGGATATATGGCTGGAGCAACAGTGCAAAGAATGAGATCAGCAAGCCATGTTCAAATTCCAACCCAGTCTGAGACATTCACTTTTGCAATTATGCACTTGATAAAGTCATTAATCCATTTACTCCCCAACTATGGGGTAAAGAACAAGGTAGACTGGGCTCTCTAGCCTTGGGTCGCAGTTAGTCTCAAAGACCTCTTAATTCAGACGATAGAGAAAGCAACAAGAAACAATCTTTCCCAAGAAGTCATGTCAATTCATATAGATATTAAAGAAAAGAAAGCTGTGAAGAGCTATGACCACCCTTGTATTAAAGGGATGTCACTTTAAATAATTTATAATGAGTTAGATCTTCACTGGGTGCCCCCATACTCAGGTCAGTCTTGTGCCAAAATTAAGCTACAAACAGTAAATAATTATTCTTAGACAGGTATTAAAATTTAAATTTTTTTTTAATTAAAATTCAAACCTCATAAATATATATATGAAATGGATTAAATCCAACAAATATTTGAATATATTCTGTTTTTACAGGTTTTTTTTATGGATACACTTATTTCAGTAAATACTGTATTTTTAATTAAACAGTATTGATTACATTTACCAACCTGAATGTTTGAGAAATTTTGTAGAAAATATGCAGCTTCCAACAGGGATCGAACCTGTATCCTATACAGAACTGTCATTAAGCCTGTAATTCAAGCATTGCTAAACTGGAAATCCTCTTTCTAAATGGTCATAACACATCAGGCTTAATGACATTTCCATAAATGATACAGGTTCAATTCCTGTTGAAGGACATACATTTTCTACAAAATTTATCTAACAGGCTGGTAAATGTAATTAGTACTGTTTAATTAAAAAACAGAGCACTTACTCAAGTAAGTGTATCCATGAAATAAAATGTAAAAACAGAAAATATATACATAAATTCAATCAATCATACTGCAGTCAGGTTGTTGTTACTCAGAACTTAAAACAATTATTGCCATATCACGCAAACAATATATATCTCAGAAATATGATTCTCTCGATTCAGCACTTACTTCCCCAAATTAGTATTAAACGATGTAACTAATTGGCTAAGAAATTTCAATGCCTAAAGTTAAACAATGTACAGAAATATTGGTTAGAATTCAGTATTAATTACAATATCTTAATGTATCAGTGTCTCTTTATACAGATTTACTTATAGAGGGGATGCTGAAAAATTCACAGCTCCCACCAAGAAGGAATTTTATTTGGGCACCGATTTTCAGAACTTAAAACGATTACTTGCTTACTTATTTTAGTGCATCATTTTACTTAAAATTATTGCTACATGACACAAATAGTTGGTGCATTATTTGAACAAATTAGCTATAAATAATCAACAGAGGCTTTTTATAGCCATCTGCAGCTTATATTATTGCCAGCAAAAACTTTTTACATTTTTCTAATGTTTTACCAATTGAAGAGAATTCGTAAAACCATTTCACTTGGTTCCATTGCAGACAAAAATGGCAGCAAATTTTTCTCAACTGAATTAGTCAATGTTATCTCATCCTCAAATGAACATTCACTAATAAAAAAAAAAATTTTTAAAAATGTGCACAAGAGCTGAAAAAAATTATGGTATTTTAAAGAAAAAATTTTGATAGAAGCATTTCAGGATATTTTTTTGACAGAAGAAGCAAGGTAGGCCGAGGAAAAATAATGTCAGCGCTAATAGTCAACAAAATTAGTATAATTCTTATAAATAATTTGCATTTGTTTATAATGATCTTAAATTTGAATTCATAATAAATAATAAACTTGCATCATTTCAAATTTTTGACATTTGATTTAATACTCTCAACCCACTTTTATAAGGTCTGAAAAACTCATTTAAGTAACGCATTAATCACTTTACTGCTTTTGATAAATTATGAAATAAGTAGCAAAGTAATCATTCTAAGTAACATAGAAATAAATGCTGCATTATTTGTTGCATTTTAAAAATAAAATTGCCAACTAAGACTTTTATATTTATATAAGTAGTGAAGTAATCATTCTAAGTAATGCAGTTAATCAAAATAAGTGTTGAGTAATTTGTTGCAAAAAATATTTAAGTAATTTGAGCATTATAGACTTGTTTGCAATTAGAACCTTGAATTTAAAAAAAAAAAATCCCACCACCACCATTTTTAATCCACAAATTCCATCTGTTTCTACTCCCTCTTCACTTGTAACCATTCCAGTCATTCTCTCTGGCAACATGAATGGGAGGGGACCTGAAGAAAAGAAACTGGCACTATGATCGTCATTGGTATTTAGCAGCTAGTTAGAAAAAAAAAAAAAAAAATATGAATGAAATGATATTCAAGAAAATGGAAAAAGAAGTTTTAACTGAACAAGAATTTCCGTCAATGCAGTTCCAGGTCTCAAAGGCAAATGACGGAAATTTCTAAAACAATGAATTAACTGTTCCATCATTTCAGAGGACAATGACATTAGCAGTTAAAAGAATCCAATAAGTGTTAAAAAATAAATAAGTAAAATGTGTTGAGTTCAGTTACAAAGTTAATAAAAAATAAGCAATAAAAGACAAAAGATTTATATATAATTAAATAAAGACGTAGGAAAATCTTTATGAATTTAAAAGGTTTCGGTCTGTAGTTAACTTCATCAGAGACTTTTAGAAATGAAATAATGTGGAATTGTTTCAATTTTTAAATTCTAAGTTGTCTTGTTATCATTGCTTAAGTAGACATGTGTTCATTTTTTTGTAGAATCAATTTCTGGAGCCAACATGTTTACCGCATAGTATTTGTGCGGTTTTAATTCTTGAAATATCAGCATAAATTAAGTGTGTATATATATATATATATATATATATATATATATAATAGGGAAATTAATGACAACATAGAAAAGATTTTTCATGTGATGAGTTTAGTCCTCTTTAGGACTTCACCGGACTAAAGTAATGTTTACATTAATGTAACTACACTTGCATATCAAAGAGGCGGGATGCTGAAATTTCAAACTTAAACATCTTTTTTTTTTTTTTTTTTTTTTAATAATGTGTTTGGGTATATAGCCTTGCCAATTTCATTTAGTTACTTTTCCTTTACTTTCTTCTCTCTTTATATATATATATATATATATATACACACACATACACACACACACACACACACACCAAAGTTTTGTTAAATTCAACTGACAAGGCTTGCCTATAATTTTGTAATGCACTTTTACACTTTTCATGTACATTAGGATCAAAACCGTGCATAAGATTTTCAAATATACAGCCCAAGTAGATATAATAATTCACAGTTCCAATAAAAAATAATATACATAAAAAAAATGATGGGAAGGAGCATCTAATCACACATGTATTCACTTAAATCTAATGTTTGAAATAATAATAAATTAATTATATTTATATATATATATATATATATATATATATATATATATATATATATATATATATATATATCTCTCAAGGGTTGGTTGGAAATTTCATAGGCTGACCAAGATACATAGCAACTGGTAGACTAGGAGACATGCAATTGGTCAACCAGTTGTTGTATTCTGGTACAATTGTATGTCGTTCAGTGTATTAACTGGTATGTCTACTTAAATTTATATCTTGGTCAGCCTATGAACTTTCAGTTGATCCTCATTGCATGCATGCATGCACACATATATATATATATATATATATATATATATATTATATATATGATTGGCCAAAAATCTTGTTCCATTTACAGAGTACATTTTCTACTTAATAAGCAAACCATTTGCCAACCATATATATATATATATATATATATATATATCAGGGATGTGATGCCAAGGTAGGCAGTGCTTACCCTCAATAAAAGAGATCAGCTGCTACATATGCACCTAATCCAACAAAAAGGTTACTTTGATTATTATGCATAAAATGCAAGGTATTTTACTTTTTTTATAGATTTACTACTTAAAAAGGTTAAGCTACCTGCCCTGAATAATTACTGATAGTATGTGCCATATATAAGAATAATTAGGAAAAACCAATAAAAATTCATAGTCAGTAATAAATTTATTTTGATGAATATAAGCATATTCATCAAAATAAATTTATTACTGACTAGGGATTTTTAAGGTTTTTTTTTCCCCCTAATGATCCTTATAATTTGTTCTGTATCATATATTGAGTTCTCATATGGACTGAAAAGTCCACTTTGGAATAATCCCTACTAGTTACATTTTGGTATTTTGTGTGTGTGTGCACACGCACACACATATATATATATATATATATATATATTGGGGGAAAATGTATGACAAAAACTATGTATGTATGCAGCTAAGAGAAGAGGGGAGTAATTCTCATAAAAATAATGTCAAGACCATCTAAAAATCAACATGTAACCATTATAAAACAATTTAGAAATTTGCTTGAAAAATATTAGAATGAATACAAATACTGCTAACAAATGAAGTCAACAGGAGATTTATAGGAAATTAAAAGATAAACAGACAAGGAAAAAAAAAAAAAACTTAAAACGTAAATTGTACAAAAAAAGTTTTGTACATCAGCCCACGACTGGCCTAACATTTCACAGACACGAGCCACTGAGAATGAAGAATAAAAACAATAAGCTTACTTTTAAATCCAATGCCAGTCATGATCTGAAGGCTTTTAAAAGCAGTTCCCTAAACAAGGAGAGGTATGTCAAGTGAAGAGGTTATGCTGAAAAATGCATCAACTTCAGAAAAAGAACGAAAAAGAAAAGAGAAGCAAGGCCCCTGTACAAAGAGAAAGGAACAATTCAAGAACATAGCAAATGGTAGCAGGCAGGAGCCTTTCATAATACATGTAGCTCCCTTCTTTATTTTTTGTTTCTTGCACATCCCCTTTCAACCTTGCAGCCCCCCCCTCGACTCTGAACTACAACAAAAAGGGTATTACTAGTAGAAACGACAAGAACAGCTTCAGGTTACAATAGTTAAGCATCTATTCCCATACAATGCATAACAAATAATTGGATCATTTGTTCAAGAAATGTATCAGACATAAATCATGGTCATTTCAAGAAGCAAGATACTCTTGAAGACAGGGCTTAGTAGTTAAAGCAAAGGTCAAAAAACTGGGCAGCATGAAGAGCAAGAATGGTTATATTTAACAATAAAACCAAGAAATCCGAGATGGGTTGCAGAATAGTACTGTTTGAGTATTTAGTGAGTCTTGCAAATTTATTAAATAAAAAACAAATTTTAAATTTTAAATAAAATTTAAAAAAAAAGGACAGACAAACGAAAGTAGTCAGATTCCAAGACTCTGCACTTAAAAACCTAAATTCACTTTTCGCTTCACCCACATCAGCTTCTTTCAAGAAAACAATCCCAAGAGTAATAAATTAAAAGGAGTCTATAAAAGAACAGTACTAGAAAGAATAGTGATATTGTGATAAATGAACAAGGTGCAAAAATCAGGGATTCAGACCCCATTAACACTGACAGAACCTCTATGCTTTCGAGATAGAAAAATATAAAAAAAAAAAAAAAAGAATCTGATGCTCGCTTAATTTGGCTCAGTCAAAAAAATAAGAGGAGGGTGTCTTTTTAGCAAGAAGTACAGGCACATAGCAGCTGCTGGAGTGATTCAATTCACTTCTAGGGAAGGGATACAGGGAATGTGGTGAGTCTGAGGATTGTGAGGGAGGGGGATGTCAGGAGAAAAAAATGGGAGCTGGGAGGAGGAGAATGAATTCAAGAATGACTCAGCAGCAGCAGCAGCAGCTTCTCCAGAAATGGAGAGGGAACCAGTATAAGATACCAATGTAAAAACCCTTAATCCTTTTTTCTCTCTCTCTCACACACACAATTAATAAAGCTATCATAGTTCCTTAAAAGGTAAAACCAATTTTATCATTTTGTTCATTTTAAATGTGCTCAATATTTAAAGTAACAAAACAATTATGATCACAAGTCACATCTTTAACTAATGCAAAAGAATTGTGCCCATATATCATAAATTACTTGTTAGGATTTATAGGTAAACTCTACAAGATTGGGTTTTAAAAGAGTCACAAAAAGACTATATCCAACATAATCTAATTATTTCAAAGATATATCTGCAGATATGAAGTGGGTGCTGAAAAATTCTTGGTCCAACTCACCTCCCAAAATATGACCAAAAAAATCAGAATTTTGAGGGAGCTTTTTGGATCAGATCAAGGACTTTTCGGATCAGACCAAGGACTTTTTGGCACAGCCTTTACATCAAAATACAAACACATCATTAAGCTGAAGGAACAAACTCCTCATTTAATTAGTTCAATTATGAATTAGGAGCCTAACAATGGTTACTTTAATTTTATTTAATTGCATCATATAATCTAATGAGGCTTCATAAAAAAAAAAAAAAAAATAAAAAGAGAGAGAAAAGAAAAAACAAATGTAAAAAATAAATGTATTATTTCTCATTATTAAATATCGAAAGTGCTCTACTCTTTATCAGAAGCTAAATATTAAAGTAGTTTTAAGATATGCTGTATTTATGGGTTTAAAGTGCCCAATATCAGAGAGAGTGTATGCAAATATAAAAGTGGAGACTGAGAAAAAGAAGCGATAGTTTCATGTTTGAACATAATCTTTAGGCCATCAGTGCTAAACTCAATGTCCACTTTTATATTTACCGATGCTTTATCCCAGATATTGAGCACTTTTACCCATAAATATAGTATACTATAAAACTAATATAAATTTTAAAAAAATGTTTCTGTGCATGTAATTTGATTTTATTTTTTTTAATAAAAATACACGCACATATAAATAACCTTTATATGGGTACTTCAACGTGTTGTAATTGTTAGGAAGCTTGTCTCCCTAAACCAATTACAACTGAGTAGTGAGTTCAATCCTCACTAGGTACAACTTACTTACAGTCTTGTGCCACATTTGAGCTATGCATAGAAAATTACCATAATTAAGTTTTGTATTCTAGAGCAGTTTACCAAAATAATAATAAACATTAATTCATAAAAAAATTAAACGTACATTAAAAGTCCCATTTTACTGCTAGGATTTATTTTTAAAAAGCTATTTTTTTTGTAAATAGTAAGGATCATGGCAATAAAGATGAGAACAACAATGTAAATAATTACAATCCCTCATTTCAGAAATATAGACAGATCCTGAAGAAGGCTGGAACTTACAATGGCCGAAACATTGTGAATATGGCAATAAAGATGTGGACAACAGTCTGAACAATGTAAATAATTACAATACCTCATTTCAGAAATATAGACAGATATAGTAAAGATCAAGTTTGGTAATTTTGTTGTTTTTTTTTTTTTAATATCTTCAATTATCCACACGATTTATTTTCAGTTATATATCATTGTATGCATGATAAAAAGTGCACAGACCAATATAATATTGCAGTTTAAGTATGTACAATTTACTTATATATAAAAAAAAGTTGTCTAAATGTTCAAGTCTATGTTGTCATAAAAATATTAAAAACTGATTAAAATATCTGATAATGTCCGCATATATTAACTCAAGTAAAACCAAATGTCATATCCCTTAATTGTGATTACATTTAGTGTATATGTGTACACATGGGGCAGAAGTAGTATTAAGTAAGAATACATCAATGGTTTTTGGTATAATAACTGTTAGAAGACAAGAGATAGGTCAAGAAGTCAATTAGTAAAAGACACACCATCACAGTTACCAAACTCTATTTTAAAATCACCTGGATTAAATTGCAACTAAACAAAATTCAATACGCAGAAAAAGATTTCTAAATTAGTCATCTTTAAAATTTGGTTCATATTTTTGTTTTGAAAATACAATTAAGTTTTAAAAAAAAAAATCTAGATAACCAATTCACAATAATGATAGTGTAGAAGTTAAAACAAGGACAACCTAAATTGTTTTTTTGTGCATAAATGAATCAGTTTTATCACTCAATACACAAGGGGTAAATTTTTTTTAATAGCCAAAAGAATTTCTAACAAGTATTCAAATATGGACTTATATTTACTGTATGTGTAAACACCAATTTTACATTTGCTGTATTACTTCAATTATTATTACAGTGAAATAAATATCCCAGTTTTATTTTTCCTATATGTGCATTACAGGGAAACCACCATTTGATCCAGTGTGATTTACCTGCTTGGTCACGGTGAACATTGCAAGAAGCAAGTTTCTATTTTCCCTTTTTAAGGAAAACACATTCCCTTCACTCATTTTTTTTTTCATGTCCAAAACAAAGCAATCTCCAAAGAACATAGATAAAAGTAATACACTCTGTTTTATAAATCAAAATGGGTCAGCTATTTCCAATATGATGTATCCACCATAGTTTGAAATAATAAAACTGTTCGGCTCAAAATAAATCCATTAATTCTATATTCACTGTATGCACAATTCCATTATTTCATGTGCAAATCCATAGTTTGTTTAATGACTTGATTTCGTTAATTATTAACAAATAGATTTGGTCTAAAATTATACAATTTAAAAGCAGAAAATTAAGAAAGGAAAAAAAAAAAAAAAAAAAAAAAAAAAAATCAATTCTAAACTAGCATCACGTATTTGGAAATCTATTATTCTTTATTCTTCCTTTCTCCAAGAACCCCCTTGCAATAATATCACACAATGAGATAACCGGTTTTATATTATCTTCATGGCTACTTTCATTCTAAACCCTCCCCCACCACCTGAAGACGCTAGACCACAAAAAAATGCTATGCAAGATTAGAAGACTACACATCTTTCAGGAATGTATAATATGACCTCAGTGCACCTACCGCCCGGTTCACACTCCTCCCCAGCCCTTTGAACAGGAATACAAGTTTATCTATGGTTTCCAGTTCAGGATTGGATTTCCAGTACCTTCTAAAGTCTATTTCAACTCTATACTCCTAACCTCTCCACCTGAACTCTGAAATTTTGTTTACTATTTTTTCTTTTTTCCTCTATTCAATAGGAATAGATAGCTTTACCTATCGTCCTGTTCACACTCCTCTCTGGTTTTTAAAACAGGAGTAAAGGTTTATCCTTTGTTTATTGGGTTTCTGGTTCCTTCTCATTCTCTTTCATTCATTCCCAGTAGCCCTTTGCATCTTCATAGCATCATCGCCTTTCTTGAGGTGAATTGATAAAAAAAACAACTTTCCTTCACTATGACTACAAAAAACAAATTAGCAACAGCATTTCATAGTGTATGGAGAGTGGGGAATTTCCCCCTCCCCAATTCTCTTTAGAATACTCTAGATTTTTTTATGGCATATTCTAAATTTTTGTTTATTATTTTTGTAATGCTTAAATATTAATCATTTCTCTGTGTAAGTTTGTAATCTTATTAAGCCAATCATAGACATTATGCATCTAACACTTCTCAGAGTTGCCCGACCAAATCTTTTCCATCGGGTATTATCTGTGTCATCCTATTTCATCAAACCTGACAGAAAACAGTGCAACTATTGAGAAAACACTTTAAATCCAAATAGCTCAAAAGATAGTACACCAACAGATGCAGCTTTGTTTCACACCATATCAACATTAAGTTGGCCTCATATCCAAGCATCTGCTCTAGCAGTTCCCAACAAGTTCAAATGCAAAAAAAATTTAAAAATTAAATAAAATATATATATATATATAACTACTGAAATGTTATTTTTAGTGGATACATGTGTTCGAGTAGATGCTCCATTTATTTATTAAACAGTATATTTATTTATTTTTGCCTAACAGCCTGAATGTTTGAGAAATCTTATTAAAGAAAAATATGTGCTCTCCAGATATTTTTAGTGAAAACTTGT